TTTCTGTAACTAAACTGTCCATACACACACACACACACACACACACACACACACACACACACACACAAACAAACACACACACAAACACACACACAAACAAACACACACACACACACCGCACACACACACACTCACACACACACAGAGATACACATGCACACAAGCTCACATACGAATAATATTATGTTATCTTTTTTCTGTATCCAAACTCACAATTATTATGCAAGCAAAAAAAACGTCCATGTTACATTCCAACATGTCAGTTCAATGTATTCAAAATTCCACTGGTTTAATTAAGTGCGTAGTTCCACGCTAATACACGGGACAATTTTCTTGCTGGTTTTTTTTTTTTTTTTTGGTTGTTTCTTAGAAAATGTTTTCGTTTATTTATTTTTTGTATCACTTTTTAAAATTGTTTTATCTTCACTACTGTGCTTTTTCTTGAATGCTATTTATAACACAATTCCCCCCGAAATCAGACCTCTTGGCTCAGTATTTTTGTGCAAAAGAGAAAATTTTAAAAAGAAAGAAGACAGTAGAGATGATACCCCGGATTAGCTGTCACACATCTTTAGCATAGTGCTATTTATAGCGCATGTGTTCGTGCAGTGCACCAGGTGTTTAAGCCAAAGCTAGCGGGTCGCATTTGACTTGGCGAACAATAATTAGATTTTTTCCGCTCGAGAAGTTTTGGCAGTGCATCCCGAGAGTCTCATGACAATACCTTGCTCCAAACATAAACGATTTTATTGCAACAACAAAAAAATGCCAAACATCCAGATCTGACAAACTGGCATGAGAGAAAAAATTGATCAGCCTTGATTTGTTATTATTTTGACTTTAGTCTGTTTTCATTTATATTATTGTTTTAAAATGGTTTAGTTTGTCCACTGCTCGGTGAGTGTTTATCCTGTGTGGCCCGCAACATTTAGTATGATAATTGAGTATCCCCCCCCCCCCCCCCCCCATCCCCTGTGAGACTGAGTTTGAATGTGACACCCCTGATGCAGTGGGTATTTCTGCTCGAGAGACCGCACGTTGTGCTAGATTGCAGTTTTCTCAGCATGCTGAGGAAAAAGGGTGCTGGGTGCTCATGGTTTCATTGTTTAGAGCGTGTAAAATAATAATATGTATGTTTGTTGGGAGTTTTTTAAAAAGAAAAATGCTTAAGTCACGATCTAATCTTTTGGTTTTGAAGATTTCAGCCCACGGTTCTCGGCTACTCGTTTTTATCTGTAGAATTAAAAGTTAACTGGGCCGTTAATCTCATAGCTGTCACAATTATCTGTTCATGGTTAGGGTGTAAATTCAGAGTATTATTATTTCTGCTCCACTGATAACTTGGCTCGTTTCGTATTGTATTGTTTCAAATCTAACAGGTGTAGAAGACTTTTAGTTTTAGTAAGAGTTTTACGGCACTTGCAACACAATAAGGGCAAATAAGTGCCGGTAGAAGACTTCATTGAAGTATATAACGGGTGAAACTTTGGGATCTCGTTTCTTTCAGCTATCAAGATGGGTCGGCCTCGAAAGCTGTATCCAAACAGAAATGCCATGGAGTCCATGAGTGGCACAGACCCGAGCGGCCGATCGTCCTATTGCCCTATGACCTCCGATGAAGTCAAGGACCCCTTCAGCCAATCACGTTACACAGATTTAGCCCCTCGCACAAAAGTTTTCTCTCAGGGTTACACGAATGATGACGACGTGCATTTCTGGGCGGATTCTAGCGCGTCACGTGACCTGGATATTATTGAGATGAACGAGCGTTTGCCCGGTCACATGGTGTCTAGTCAGGGGCCAGTTTCCTTGTCGGGTCAGGGTGGAAGTGGAGCCAAGCTCAGAGATGGCAGCTTTGTGGAAGAGTGCAGATCTGTGCTACACTCTGGGGTAGGGCGAGAGGAGGGCAGACACGCCCATGGTGGTTTAGTGAACGGAAGACTGGCAGAGAGCAACAGGTCTTATACCTCGTCGTCGACCTCAGAGCCAGTGAACTACGATAGGCACAGTCCTGAATATCCGAGCTATTACAGATCACTTCCTCTCCAGACAGGAAAAGCGGTACCTCTGCCCTATGTCGAGAAACCGCAAGATCCTAGGTTCACTTCTTTCCCGGCCCCGCCCCACCGTGATGCCGCCCGTGAAATACCGAGGTCTGTACACGGTGCTTCCAGTCATATGTATCCCATTGTTAAACGACCCGAGGAAATTTTCTCTGGCACCGATGACAGGAATTCTACAGAGTTCTCCCATCATGCAGCAAGGCAGGGGGACTACATGCCTGCCACTGAGGGAGGAAGAGGGGTCCACCAGGGGCATCCCAAAGAGATTTACTCGGTCCACCCAAGGCAAATATTGTACAGACAGCTCAACAGTAGCAGAAATAACAATTTTTCAGGTCAGACAGAACGTTTAAGTGCTCATGACCGGCCACCCGGTCATATGACTAGACGAGACATGCCGCCATTAGTGAAGTTGTCTCCCACATCCGGGGAACAGATTCTTCCCTGTTCCTCGTCTCGTGCAGAGACAGAGACCAACACGGTGCAGGATGATGTCAGATATTTCCGTCCTTCGCAAAGTCACGTGTCATCTTCTCAAACTGCCAATGGTATGGTTTCTTCTCCATCGGCCGGCCCGTCCAGAAAACATTCCTCACGCAACGGTAACGTCTGGGGTACGCCCTCAGATCCCAAAAAGATGAAATATGAAGCATTAGATTTAACAGTCAGTTCTAAACCATGTGATCTCTCTGTGAGTAAATCAGCAAGTCCTTACGAACATGACCAGAGTCAAATCAACGACCGTAGGCTACAATATCATGTCGACGACGAATCAAACTATCCCAAAAGGAAAGGTGAAACGTTCTATGAGAGACGAGAAGAGTCTCAGCAAAAACCACATCACCCTACCTGTAAAGTTCGCAGACTGAATTCAAATAGTATGACTGAACAGAATGAAAATGGCCGTCATTTTTCTATGGAGCCGAGAAAGGACTCTTCTCCACGGTCCCCACCTGCTCTGCTTCAGACGCGCGGCTATGTATACGTGGGTTCTGGCCCTCCACCCCACACTAACGCCAGTTCCAGATCAGAGTTTGTGAAGCGGAATAAGACTCGCGTGACCCCGTTCGAGAACTCGTTGACGAGAGGTCTCTACGACGCCAATCTCACACTCCCCCGAGCTATGGACCTCGCGCAGCAAGTCGTGTCCCAAGTTAGGAAAGCAAACTCTTCCTCGACTTCTTCTTCCTCCTCCTCTTTCTCTTATGTTGACAATCGTGCCTCGATCACCTCACCGTTCCACTCACGGAACGTACAGCCCTCGAGGAAGGAGCTGCTGTCAACTAACGCGGTTGCAGCGAGAGGTTCTGTTTCAAAAGCGACTGCCATTTCTGGAGAGGCCCGTGACCCCATGTCCTTCTCGCGTTCTCCTTACCCAAGCCCAGACTCTGCTGCGCCTCTGAAGTACACCGCCTCAGAAGCTGCTTATCCCGCTATCAAACAAGAAGCAGAAACACCCCCGCCCTGCGACGACTTTTCCCCCTCTCCGTTCTCAGCAGTGGGAGCTTCTCAGAGCATCTCAAAAATGAATCCGAGCCCTAAGTACGTGGCACAAAGAGCCATTGCTTCTTCTCAGCCCCGAACCCCAAGCCTCCCTCCTGTATCATCTCCCGGCAGTTTTATGTCGGACTCCTCACGTCCAGCTTCGTCCTCGTCGTCTCTAGCCATACTCGAGGGTACCCGGACCCTCCAGACCTCGAGTTCAGAGGTCAGGCTGTTGACCCCCGGAAGCGACCTAGACTCAGACAATGTTCCCAGCAGTAGTGGCGTGAGTCGCCTTGCTATGGCTTCTAAAGGCGGAAATAATGCTGGAGCGGAGCCCAGCTTGAGAAGCCAGTCGAGTGCCAGTGTCGGAAGTTCCGAGTCCTCTTCCTCATCCTCCCAGCGGTCGTTTGACCCCTACACGAACGAGCAGACCCTGGTGTACATCAATGAGATGTTCCTGGTGGTGGATACGCTCACAGACTCCAGCTGCAGCCCGAGCGGCCGGCCAGCCAGGAGCAAGTCTTCCACAGAGCTGGACGCTCTTGACAGCATGTTCACCAACGTCTACGGCTACTCCCCCGCCAAGGTAAGGACCGGACAACTTGTTGCCGCTTGCATTATGGACAGTGTGTCGGTGTGTGTGTGTGTATGTGTGTGTGTGTGGGGGGGAGGGGAGGGTTACAGGTGT